TCTTTCTTTCTTTTTCTTTCTTAAATATGTATGAAAACTGGGTTTACAGAGAACTGTGCTGTTGCCCAGATTATGCAATTGTAAACACTCGTTTACAAAGATCGCAAGATTTTGAGTTAAAGTCCAGTTTCATTAATATGTGTTTAAGAGTCAGTGTTCGGCCAGTGTGATAGCAATATTGGTTTCGTTTTAATATGATCAACAACTGCTAATAACGATGGCCTAAAAGTGGCTGGCAAAAGACAGATTGATGATCAACCCACGTTTTTAAATTATTTAGACAGTAACAAGGGACAGTCAAAATTTAATTTAGAGAAGCACAATAGCGCATGCTATTAGATTTGTATAAACTGGCAGGCAGTGTAATGCAAACGAAGAATATGGTCAAACCTCAAACACATGAACACTAGCGCCATCGACTGGACAGCTTAGAGAGAGCATATTGGCTTTTACTTGTCATAGTACTACAGCAATTTGAAAAATGTATACTTTGTGTAAAGTTCAAATCTCAACATGTTCTGCCTAATGTTAGAATTTAGGAGAAACGTCTTTAGTTCAATTAATATTTATTTGTATAACTCTTTTCATAATAAGTATAATTAAAAAGCAGTTTTACATAAAATAATGGCATATTTATAGTTAGTGAGCTAAAGGTGACAGAGGGGGAAAAAGCCATCAAGAAAGACAACAAACAAAAACAAACTAGAGAGATGAATGTTTAAATAAATACCTTTTCACAAACAATGTACAGTTTTGTTTTTTAATTATTTTAAAAATACATTTGGTAAAATACATTTTGTATCCCAGACCTTGTTCTAACTCAATGGAAAGGAATGAAAGGTTTAAATTCACACATTTCCCCCCTAATGAAACCAGCTGTAGAAAAGACACACAAAAGCACACAACAATTATCTTCACTTTCATTTCCTTTGGTTAGAGACTGTGTGAACATGATACGGTCTCACTCAAAAGGTGCTTCAGCATTGACATTTGGATGACAAAGCTGCTCTGAGACTCAGTGCTAGGCTGCCACTGCCACTGAGGAATTCCTCCTCACACAGCGCCGCATTGTTGCCTGTTCACATCAGTACAACAAAATCTCATTAAACAATATAATAAAAATCATGTACTCCAGGACCATATGATTGTGACAACCAAAAAAAAAAAAAAAAAAGGAAAAAAATAAATAAACATTTGCTTCATCAAGAATTAGAATGTGGCACTGATTCTTGAGACATGGGACAAAACATGTCTCATTTTAAATATCTCCTATTACTAGTAAGCAACACCAGTTAAACAAAATGATTACTGATTATAATGTTTGATATGCAAAATATGTTTTGGTGACAATTTTATATATAAAAATCGATTGAAACTATAATGGAGTTTCAGTTCATTTATTTAATGAGGTTTTCAAACTTTACAGGGACACCTGTTTTTATATATATATATATATATATATATATATATATATATATATATATATATATATA